AATAGATGTTTGTTAAAGGTGCCGTGTCCTGTGATAGCACTTGTTACTATCCTGATCTGCGGCTTGTTCAGCCTCATTAAGACTTTGATTAAGCGACTGTTTATTTCAGGCAGGGTCTCCCTAGCTTGTCTGCATTCTACTAGATTTTTCCAAAGCTGAGCATGTTGATTAGTGAAGTGTCTACGTACCAGTGAACGAACGTTACCAAAGGGGATTGGTATGGTTGGTTCCGGCCCTATAGCGACCAGAGCCGATCCTTTTCTGGCCAGTTCGTCTGCTGCATCGTTGCCTCTGGATCCACTGTGTCCCTTTATCCATTGCAGAGTCACATTGTTGTTTTTACATACCTCATTTAATCGTTGATGGCATTCATATATTAATCCTGAGTTCACCAAATTGCAACTCAGAGCTTGTACTAGCGCCCTACTGTCGGTCAGTATTCTGATGGGGAAGTCATTAACCTTCCTAGCATCTATTGCTATGGTTGCAATAACCTTTCAGTCATTTAATCGTTGCGTATTTTCGTGTATTTTGCGACCATTATGCAAATCAGATAATGATTCGAACTTTTTGCAATGGCGCTGTTTTAGGAATTTAAATTAACAGGTGATTATTATTATTTTTTTTTGCCACACTGGTCGAAGAATAGTAAAACTGAATGGTTCACTGTACTGTCTTCCTGGTAGATAATTGTCTTTACTTGCACAAATTTACATTCAATGTAAACAAAAAATGCATCTTAACGCATGTTTTTTTTAATATTATTTCCTCTATTAAACTATTTTTATAATTAGTTATAAAATTATATTTTAATAATTTTATTAAAGCCGTCTCAAAAGTCTAGTGTTCAAATTCCAAAGAAAAAATATTAGTCAAGTTTCTGAACGAAATTAATTGAAGTGCCAACATTAAATTCTGTGATGTAATTGGATGTTACCTGTGGCTGTTATTATGCGAATGGAACAGGTAGTTGTAATTTGCGTTTTAAGTTTATATTTATAACTCATCTTCAATAATTAGTAATTTTATAGTACTTATTAATATACTTTTAGAGACACAACATTTCAACGTTGTTTTACAGTTCTTTTCACAGTTTATTGTTTATAATCACTATTATACACTGAGTTGCAATTCTATTGTCTTATATTGGTTTAATTCTTATTAAAAGCTTTTAGAAAAAATTACTTCGCAAATATCCGCGTTATAAAATAAAATGATGTGTCTTACCTAGTATGAAGAGCACCTCCCGACCTCCCTCAATTGCGTGCACTATCCCCGTCACCACTAATCCCAGCACCGCTACTCCCAACACCACTACACTAGGCAAGACACACCACCGACGATAATACGACACGTGTTTCGCCTCTACACGAAGCATCCTCAGGTGATATAGACTCTACGGTGGCTAACCGCTAAGTGAGCGGCGAGCCAAAACAAGTGCCTTTTATATAGACCGATAATGCAACCGCTCTCTACCTAAGGAGCGAGCGACTGCGTCATGCGATAAAACATGCGACCAATCACCGCTGGACTTACGCAGCCGTTTGTAAAATTAAAAACTAAAAACAAACCGCCGCGCAACGCCCACCCTCCAACCACGCAACCAATCGCCGATCACCGTGAGGGTGACAAACGACCATATTGCGAGGCTCTCTATTATTAGAGAGCAGGCTTGAAGATATTTAAAAGAGGTGAGTTAGTAACATTTGTTTGTTCATTCAGCAATGCAACGGTATTATTATTACTTTTTAATATCTCTAACTGTTCCAGCACACACAGCCGCAGCCCTTTATTACACGTATGTAAGACTTTAAAGGAGTGGTCGTTGGCTAGGTTGTGTCCAGTGTCCAAAAGATGTTTGGCAAAATGGGATTTATCGGAATTGCAATTCCTGTACGCGGCTAAATGCTCTTTATAACGTGTAATCATTTATCACGCCAAGCTACGAAGTCCGAGTAGGCAAGCGACTTTATGCGTTCCTCAGACCACACCAAATGAATTGAGACCACACAGGCCAACAACATCCACTTCTCATATTACACCACATCAGTTGGAACGTTTACATTTAACCAAGGGACGGATATGTAAATATACTATATACTTATGAACAACATTTTAAAGAATAACCTATTTATATATATAATTATATATTATATATAATTTGGGTATCTTCCATATATGATAAGTAAAGAGATTAATACAAAATATAATTTATACCTTCTTATTCGTTCATTTGGTAAGACGCCATCACCTTGAGCGGCTTGAATCGCCCGAAGTGTAGCGCCAACATCAAAGACAGTATTTAAATTATTAAAATTTACTCCCCATCCGGGATGTAATAACTCCATATTATCACGAATCGTATCAGTAATAGCATTATTTATTTGCGCCCGGACTCCATTATTGAATCCGGCTACAACCAATGATAACGGTTCTTGTAACTATCGGTCCCAAATAACTCCTTCCTGATTAATTCCAGGTATTTGCGTTAATGCAGCTAATTGCGTACGACTTATAGTAAATGTTCCTTTAAATCGTACACATATAGTATCAATCTGCGCTCCTTCAGGCACATGAATAACTATTCCGACTAGAGGACCGAAAGTCCAAGAAGTCGTTATTCCTAAATTTATTGATTTTCCATTATTCTGATTTTCTATATCTCCAGTAGCAACTTCCACTGGCTGGTTGTTTGCAAGCCAAGCTGAGTAAACAAGATGTCCAACACCAGGGACGATACCCATATCATCCATTACGGACACAGTGTCAATTGTTCCGGAGAGCATCATTAAGCCACTAATCGCAGCAGTATTAAATTCGTAATGTGCGGGCAAAATTCCATTATGCCTATGAAATAGATAAACAGCGTCATCCGATAGATAAACATAATCATGTGCGAATAGAGCGTTATTACTAACCGCATGCCTAGCTCGCATTCTATGTAGATAAGGTAAAGCACTTTGAATATCTCTAGGTTTTATGATAAAATTTTGAGGTAATGCTTGGTTGTGCTCCAGATTAGAAAGTACTAACATAGATTCCACTAAACTTGGATGTTTAGTATCTGCAGCCCCTTGAATTAATCTATTGTAATCGGTTAGTCGTGAATTCACAATTCTATTACCATTCGCTGGACCAAAGACCATCCGCATAAATTCGTCATCCGGAATGGCTCCTCCAATATCAAGCCAATTTGCAGGCACTAATTTCTGTCGTCTCGTTGGGTTTGTGAATAGGTCAATAACATCTTGTGTCATTAAGGAGAGAGCATTTCGTATTGAAGCGGGATCACCATTTACTGATCTTCCTGTATATTTAGACGCAATATCTAAAAACTCATATGCAATTGAAGAATTTTCTGCGCCTGCTGAAATTGTCGTATTTCTTAGACTTTCAGCAAGATTAATCAGGCGCTCAATAAGGCCCGCGGGCACTACAAGACGTTCAGTCATGGTAGTAAGCGTTTTAAATTTTTTTTAATATAATGGATTTCCGCAAACTAACGCCTGATTCTATTAATTATATTAATTCTTATTGCACTAACAATTCACTGAGATAACACTATTACTGGTTTGTCGACATAGATTGAGTATTTTTACATATGTTACAGTGTCGTAAGTACATAATACTATTTTTAAATTATTAAATTGGCGGAGCAACGTTTGCTATGGGATAGAGGATTCTCTTACGTCCATAATCTCAACACTAATATTAATTCCCTATACTATCTACAAACTAATATTAATTCCCTATACTATAATATAACTTGTGAGCTTTTAATATAGTTGTAATCATATTTAGATGCCAGGCACATTCTTGCCACTGCATCGAATTAAATGACATATAACTACTACCATTGATAGATGAATTTTACAAATATCATCAGTAGACACTTTTTACTGGAAAAGAGGCATTCCATCTTAGTCCTCACAGGTGACAACGCATCTGCATTTTGATTCTTTATCGAGGATAGATGTAGATGTCTATGGGTCACAGCGATCACTTACCATCAGGTGGACTGTGTGCTCGTTTGTCACCCTATCCTATATAAAAAAGTAGAGTAGCATAAACAACCCATATCTTTTATACATATAAGTTTATGATGTGGAAGTTCCTGTGCCGTGGTCAAACATCAATCCATCTCTCGCATTTTAATTCTTTGGTCAACCTTCAGCTAATATACCCAGACATATAACCAACTATGATTATACAAGCTTCTGTTATATTTTCATAATCCAGCATATTTGCAAAAATATTACAATTATTTTCTGCTTCTATATCAAATTTTATATTCAAGTATATTATGTCTGTAAGTTTATCGTGCTGTTAATGACATTTTGTGAAGTTTGTCGTGCTGTTAATGACATTTTGTGAAGAATAATGTAAAATATTGAAATTGTCCAAGGGTATGCAATTTAAAAGATGGTCTTACTTCAAGGTGACTCAATTTTTTTATAAGCAGCTCTAAGTTGTGGTTTTTTTTTTTTTTTTTTTTATAGGATAAGGGTGAAAAACGAGCACACAGTCCACCTGATGGTAAGTGGTTGCTGCGGCCCATAGACATCTACATCTCTGTATAGATCAAAATGCAGATGCGTTTTCACCCGTGAGGACTAGGATGGAATGCCTCATTTCCAGTAAAAAGGGCCTCCGGCCACCTGCACTCACCAAGCGAAACGCAGAGGTAAACCTCTACTTCACGCTGGTATTCTGTGAGGTCGTGGTACCACCCCGGTTCGAGCCGGCCCATCCATGCGACAGCAAAAGCTGCCGCCTGGCTCTACCACTGTAATTAGGGTTAATATTGTAGTCACCACGTTTCCTTATTAACTCAAAAAGAAGATCTAAGTAATACTAACTTATGTGGTACATAGATTGTAGTTCAGATGCTTTTTTCTTCTACTAAGTGGTTATATGTTATACATTCGGTTTTGTGATTTATACCTTATGGTACTAGGGTTTGATCAAAAGAAACAACCAAATACAGTATATAAAAACATTTATTTATAGACATATTTAATTGCTTTAATTAATTTCATAAAAGTATCCTTTTTGTTTCTTTGGACTGACCTCCTCCACAAATATTCTGTAATAATATCTGCAAAGTTTTCTGGGTGGTTATAATTGTATTTTTTGAAGAATCTATTAACCACCCGCCATTGCGATTCAATCCTTTGAGTGTGAGTACCATCAGGGATAACAAATGGGTTATCAGGATCGGAATAGTTCACCTTCTTGTGAATGTTCCCCCAAAAAATCATACGCCCTCCAGAAGTCTGTATGGACTGTGGTGTCCTCAGCCACATGTTTAGTTAGTTTAGTTTAGTTTACAACGGGCTGTTTTCCGCAAATCCACGTCTATGCGCGTATTTTGCGTGTGGACAGGAATAATGTGATTATTCGAGTCATAAGATCTCCCCGAAGAAGCTCAACAGTCTTTTGAAGTTGCATGCAACTTCGGGGAGTGATCCCGGCGTGCTGAGATGTTTAGCCTAGTTACCTCCGAACATTTCAGTAGCATGTGGGCAGCCATTTCTTCCTCCCCCATACATGCCCTGCACAGGAAACTACCTGTAACACCTATAGTAAATAGATGTTTGTTAAAGGTGCCGTGTCCTGTGATAGCACTTGTTACTATCCTGATCTGCGGCTTGTTCAGCCTCATTTAGACTTTGATTAAGCGACTGTTTATTTCAGGCAGGGTCTCCCTAGCTTGTCTGCATTCTACTAGATTTTTCCAAAGCTGAGCATGTTGATTAGTGAAGTGTCTACGTACCAGTGAACGAACGTTACCAAAGGGGATTGGTATGGTTGGTTCCGGCCCTATAGCGACCAGAGCCGATCCTTTTCTGGCCAGTTCGTCTGCTGCATCGTTGCCTCTGGATCCACTGTGTCCCTTTATCCATTGCAGAGTCACATTGTTGTTTTTACATACCTCATTTAATCGTTGATGGCATTCATATATTAATCCTGAGTTCACCAAATTGCAACTCAGAGCTTGTACTAGCGCCCTACTGTCGGTCAGTATTCTGATGGGGAAGTCATTAACCTTCCTAGCATCTATTGCTATGATTGCAATAACCTTTCAGTCATTTAATCGTTGCGTATTTTCGTGTATTTTGCGACCATTATGCAAATCAGATAATGATTCGAACTTTTTGCAATGGCGCTGTTTTAGAAATTTAAATTAACAGGTGATTATTATTATTTTTTTTGCCACACTGGTCGAAGAATAGTAAAACTGAATGGTTCACTGTACTGTCTTCCTGGTTGATAATTGTCTTTACTTGCACAAATTTACATTCAATGTAAACAAAAAATGCATCTTAACGCATGTTTTTTTTAATATTATTTCCTCTTTTAAACTATTTTTATAATTAGTTATAAAATTATATTTTAATAATTTTATTAAAGCCGTCTCAAAAGTCTAGTGTTCAAATTCCAAAGAAAAAATATTAGTCAAGTTTCTGAACGAAATTAATTGAAGTGCCAACATTAAATTCTGTGATGTAATTGGTTGTTACCTGTGGCTGTTATTATGCGAATGGAACAGATAGTTGTAATTTGCGTTTTAAGTTTATATTTATAACTGATCTTCAATAATTAGTAATTTTATAGTACTTTTATGGTTGGTTTCGGCCTTATAGTGGCCAGAGCCGATCCTTTTCTGGCCAGTTCGTCTGCTGCATCGTTGCCTCTGGATCCACTGTGTCCCTTTATCCATTGCAGAGTCACATTGTTGTTTTTACATACCTCATTTAATCGTTGATGGCATTCATATATTAATCCTGAGTTCACCAAATTGCAACTCAGAGCTTGTACTACCGCTCTACTGTCGGTCAGTATTCTGATGGGGAAGTCATTAACCTTCCTAGCATCTATTGCTATGGCCGCTTGAATGATACCCATACATTCCGCCTGAAAGACTGTGTTATAGGTACCCAGCAGTGTGCATATGTGGATATTGAGGTCTTCAGAGAAAGTTCCAGAACCTACACCTTCATTTGTTTTAGAACCATCGGTGAAATCTAAGCTCTTTTGGGCTTAATCCTTCCGGCTGGCTGGTTTCATTTAATTATATCTTGTACTTCTTATCGAAAACAAATTGTTTAAGAATCTTAACGTAATTTGCTTGTAGGATAGGAATTTTTGAGTGAATTCTATCAATTATGCCTGTATGAGGGACACTATTCTTACTCCAAAGATTTAGGGTCTTGAGTCTGATGGCAGCTAAAGTCGCTTCTTTTTGTATATGTAGATGAAGCGGGGTTAGCTCCAACATCGCTTCCAAGGCTGCTGTTGGCGTAGTTCTTATGCAGCCTGTGGCAGCCATACATGCCAGTCTCTGGTAGCGCTGAAGTTTCTTTATAGTGGTGGCTTCAATTGTCTTGGTCCACTATACCAGAACGCCGTATGTGATCATGGGCCGAATTACAGTTTTGTAAAGCCACAGTATGATTTTTGGCGTCAGTCCCCATCTTTTGCCAATCATGTTTCTGTATTGCCAGAAAGTTATACTAGCTTTGTTGATTTTGTTTTCTATGTGTTTGTTCCAGTTAACTTTGCTGTTCAAGGCAAGACCTAAATATTTTAGCTCAGAGGATAGCTGGAGTTTTGTGCTGAAAAGACTTGGAAGATGATAGTTATTCAGCATTCGTTTTTGTGTGAACATTACTAGAACCGTTTTATTTGGATTGACGGTTAAGTCGTATTCCCTGCACCATCTCTCCACTATACGGAGAGCCGCTTGGGTCAGGTCACACACTATGCTTGCTGTCTTTCCAGAAACCAGTATTGTTAGGTCATCAGCATAACCTACTGTATAGAAGTGATTGGCATTTAATTTGCTGATGAGTTCATTGATTACCATATTCCACAGGAATCTCCATCGTCTTTAGGAGAAAGGATGCGAGGCTAATGGGCCTGTAGGATTTAGGGTCAGTGTAGTCGCTCTTATCAAATACAGTAAATATTTAATTGCTTTAATTAATTTTATAAAAGGATCCTTTTTGTTTCTTTGGACTGACCTCCTCCACAAATATTCTGTAAAATAATATCTGCAAAGATTTCTGGGTGATTATAATTGTATTTTTTTAAGAATCTATTAACAGCCCGCCATTGCCATTCGATCCTTTGAGTGTGAGTGCCATCAGGGGCAACAAATGGGTTATTAGGATCGGAATGGTTCACCTTCTTGTGAATGTACCCATGTTCCCCCAAAAAATCATACGCCCTCCAGAAGTCTGTATGGACTGTGGTGTCCTCAGCCACATGTTTATTAATTAGGGGCACTAGTGCGTCCGCTGACCTGATGTTTTCGGGGCACACCTCTAGTCGCAAATCTTCACTTCCATCCTCAATGAGGCCGAGGATCCAGTGGCCCTCAATCCGCCTTCCTAAAAACAACAATAAACAATTTATAGTTAGTAAATATTCAAGATATTTTGGCTTTAAAAGTAAACTTTAAATAAATATATTGTTTCAGTCTGTTAATATAAGAAAATCAAATTACCTTTATTATATTTCCGTTTTCCAAATTTTGACTCGTATATTTGGACAACTTTTCCTGTTCCACCAGTCTTGCCGATGGCCTCTTTTCGCTCTATTTGGTAAAAGACGACTGTCTCACGGCAGTAATTGTACCAATCGCAGACAGTCTCTATGGAGACTTTATCTTTTTCAGGGTTTTCATGGATTGCATCTTCATAGCTCCAGCAATGTGCATAACAGTACATCAGATAGAATACCCGTGCCAATGATATTTTAATATTTTCAAACAAGGTGTCCTTGCTACGAGCTACCCTGGATCGGGCTCTGCAATTTCCTTTATTGCATACAAAGGAGCCCACATTTTTATTTTGCCCATATTCCACTTTCATTGGCACTCTATGGGTGCGGCACTCCTTAGTGGCAGGGATTAATCCATTCTCAACGGCAAATTCCACACACTGCTCGCTTGCATTCGACAGACCGGCCGAACTAGTTGACGAGGTGGGTTCTTCAGGCATCTTGGGTCTCTCAGGCAGACAGGCAGGTAGGCAAAGTCTAAAAAAACATGCAGGGGTCATCGTAGGGCAAATCGGTGGTCCGGTATTCGAGCGCGGGTCTTCGTTAAGGCAAATCACAGGTCCAAGAAACAAGCAGAGGTCGAAAGTAGAGCAGGCGGTAATCGGAGGTCCGGTAATCGAGCAAGGGTCAAGAGTTGGGAGCAAAAAATGAGCGCAAAACATTCCAAGTCCAAAGGCGAAGGTGACTAAAAAAAAAGTGTCTTTTTCATGTTGGGCTTCATGTAACACAACCGTGGTTTAACATCGTATGTTAGAGTAGGATAGTATTATAAACAGATTATACAAACCATACTATTGCTATCTCTTTCTAATAATTATATTGTTGTTGCGTGTTATTTTTTAAAACAGATACAGACCATGCTCTATTGCTGTCTTTCTAAAAATTATATTGTTATTTCGTTTTCGTATCATTTTCAAATGGATATAACCTCAAAACTATAATTATCGATATCTCGAAAACTAAAGATTTCCGGCATAAAAGGCAGCTAGATGGTAATCAATAGCATCATTGCCTGTCAACTAAAGCTAAAATGATCACTTAAATCGTGCCGCAGATTACTAAAGCTAACCCGTTTCATATTCATAATTTGATTACGAAAATGTATATGATGTTAACTTATTAGCAAATTGAAGGCCTTCACTTTGCTGAAGCTTATTTAAATTAATAAGGAGTCTCTAATCAAATTAATTACATAGCAGGAATCAATAAAAATGCGTATATTTCTGATGCACTTGGATGTAGATAGTGGGGTTTCAAACTATTCACATCAGATAGCTTACAATTTCAGCAGCTTTAAAATTAGCTGAGCACCCATCAAATGTGAGACTTGCAATAGTTACACCAACCTCATGGTACTTGTCTAAACAAATATTTATTAAATTTGATTTAGTCTTCGCTGATATTCCAGCTGTTAAATACACCCAACAGGCAGTTTCCAATTTTCATTTAGGCGCTGTCTCCACGAGCGCGAGAATCGCGACGAGTCCGCGCTTCTATCGTCGGGTAATCTCCACGGACGAGCGATTATTCTGCCAGTCGTCACGACTCGTGACGGAATCGCAGCGTGTCCGCGACGACTCGTAACGGAATCGCCGATTTCGCGTGGTGCTTTTATTTGTTGAAAGAGTTCAGTTAGGTGCCAGACGAGACCGAAATAAGTAGTTTCTCAGTCAATAAAATAATTCTTTATTATGGATGTAGTGTTATGGGGTGCTTGTGCAAGTACGCTAGTGAATATGCAGTTATTGTTATTAAGAAAGGAAAAAAAGCGCCGTTGGTGGACACATCCTATGCCACTACGTCGTAAAAGTCATGGACATTTCCATGTGAATTATGAAGAATATCGACATCATTCAGATTGGTTTGAAGATGAATATTTAATGCCAATTCCTGTTTTCGATGAACTGTTAAGTTTACTGTCAAGAAAATTATCAAAGCAAGATACTAATATGAGGAAAAGTATCGGGCCATGTGAAAGATTAGCTGTAACACTACAGTAAGTTTTAAGCAGTTTTATCTGTGTTAAACGCTTACATCACTTATATAAATCGTAAAGTTTATATTCCATCAAAGTGTTCTAACATTTGAGCAATATCGTCATCGCTTGTTGGTGTGGATGCACGAGGATATGATTCTTCCAATGATGTGATGGTGGTATGTATTTCTTAATCACAGACATAATCTCAGTTCTGGCGTCAATTAAATAATCTTCTTTTATTTTGTCCATAAGTGGTAGCATCGAACGGAAAAATGCCTCATTTCCACGCTCGTCATTATACTGTCGTTGAACATTATTTCTTTGTATATCTATGCTCTCGCACATAACATTCGATATCTCTTTATTCGATTCCAGAAACATTTGGACTAATATTTTCTTTTTATTAGACGTGGATGGTTCGGTAACACTGGGGGTGGTATTAACCGAACTGTCGTCATCATCAAAAACTTCTTGACTGTCGTCGTTGAGCATGTTTGATGATGTTAAAGCGTGTTCTGTGTGTTTCTTTAAAAAAAGTAATGCATCATAATGGATATACTTTCGTCGTTTTAAGGCAACTTGACCGGATTTTGAACATTGCTGCAACTTTAACTCCTTACGAAATTGATCCCTTAAAGATTTCCATTTTGTCATTAACTCAAGTCCTGAAATAAAGAATTAACTCCTTAAATTTTATTTATTTATAATATAACTGAAGCACTTTTACAATCTGGCTAGACAAAAGTGAACCAAAATTGAATGTTATTTGTTTTTCCTAAAAATAATACAGATTACACACACATATGTATGTGTGTAACTGAAAAGGACAGAGTTAACTCCTGGTTCCTTAGATCCGGCTTCTCGAAGGACCAATTAAAAAGGAACAGGGCTGATTCCGTTTCCTAATCCGGCTCCTAAGGAGCAATTGAAAAGGACGGAGCTAAATCCTGCCTAAGCCGCCTACGTTGGGTTCGGGAATAACGTATGTGAACCCCGCAACGGAGTAACACACAAGGGCGTCAACCTCTTCTTTTTCCTCAAATAGGTTCAGACGGGGATTACGGGTCTTCCGAGGTCGTCCCGGTCCCAACGCCTTAATTCTTCAATATGTGCCGCTCCGGCGACACCAGAAGGACTGTACTTATTCTTAAAGGTGAAGAATCCCTTGGGAATAAAACAGTAATTATCTTCAAACCGTTCCGTGAGAGAGTAATTACTTTCCCTATCGCTTCCCTATATGCTTTTCTTTCTTGATTATATTATATCCTGGTAGCTGGTCCCGAACGATTGCATACGGTGTTCTTCTCCTTTTCGTCCCTTTTCTTAGGACAGGAGGTTTTCAGGTTTCGAGGTGGCCCTCATTACCCGGGCGTCATCGTGGGGGGCAACGGCTCCCCCGGTCTTGGGTGCTATTTTAGAAGCAGCTTGTTGGTTGATGTTGCACGTAACGATTTGCATGTGGTGGTTCTTCTCCTTATGGAGGTTTGCATGTGTCGAGGACACCCTCTTTACATGGGCGGCATCTCAGGAGGACACGTCCCCCCGGTCCTGGGTGCTGCGTTGGCAGCTTTTATGTTGGTGTATTGCGCACCTCGCGCCATCAAGTCGAGTGTCGGGACGCTCACTCACCCCCGGCGTCCCCTGTGCCGGGCAGTGAGCGTAGAAGTTCACGTGGGAGTGGTCGCCCGTCAGGTGGGCGGGCGTGGAGGGGAGCAAGATTTTGCAGATGTGGATGTGGCCCGTTATCTGCGCGGTCGAACAACCGTCTCGCAGTACGGGTCACGAATTCGGAGATGGATTCGACCTTGAGGTCGCGTGCGATGACATCGTTCCTGACGTAGCGACCGGCTCCCACGATCACCCGAAGCGCAAGATTTTGCTGGGCCTGCAACCTCCTGCGCTGAGTGGCCGAGGTCAACGCGTACCAGGCTGGTGCTGCGTAGGTCAGCCGCGAGCTGATGTAGGTTTTGTAGATACCTATTTTCGTTCTTGTTGGGAGTTTGGATGCCAGTATAGGATATAGTTTTGCTCGCGCAGCTCTGGCCTGTCTCACTACGTGATTGACCATCGCATGCGAGCGATCTATCTGGCATCCTAGGTATGTAATGGTACTACTCCAACCCACATCCTGCCCGCGGAGTTGCAGAGTTGGTGGTGTTCTGGCCAGCCTGGTCACGAAGGCGACGGTCTTGCCGACGTTGACCGCCAGCCTCCATTTGTCCAGCCACTCAGGCAAGAGGTCGAGTACCCGCTGCAACTTCCTGGCAGCTATGTTCACCCGACGTGATGACGCGAAGTACGCACTGTCGTCGGCGTACAAAGCTAGTACAACGTCATCCTCCCACTCCTCCAGATGGCCTTGAAGGGTGGGGATGTCGTTGGTGTAGATCGCGTACAGGTGCGGTGATAGGCAGCTGCCCTGTGGCACTCCCGCAAAAATCGGTCGTGCTGCCGAAAAAGCCCCCTCCAGGGTGACATGGAAGCTCCGCCCCTCCAGGAACGATGCTATTAGCCGCACAAGCATGGGCGGTAAGGTGGTACGCTGAATAAGTTTGTAAACTAGCCTTCGTGCCACACCTTGTTTAAGGCCTTCTCCATGTCGAGAAGGACCCCCACACAGATTCGGCCGAAGTTATATTCGGCCGCAAGATAGTGCAGCACGCGGGCCAGCTGTGAAGTTGTGGAATGTCCCCTGCGGAAGCCAAACTGCTCCTCACGCAGGGTGACATGTGGGAGGAACCTACTCAGGGTAATTTTTTCAAAAAGTTTTGCTATGTGCGGCAATAGCGTTATGGGGCGCCGGTTAGATAGGTATTCCTGTACGCGGTCTACTATGCTTTGTACGTGGTCTGCGTACCCCTCTGCTACACTGTTGGGTATGAATTGCTGTTCAAGGTGCTGTGCCATCAATTCCGCCCGCTTTTGGGCGTCGTAGATTCTGCTCCCCGTGCTGTTCACCAGTGGGCAGACAGGTTGTGGTGTCTTGGCGAGCTGCCGGTTGAGGAGGTGCAGAGAGACGGGTGTTTCCGAAGCTTCGTCGACTCGCCTCTCCCATGCTTCTCCCCTGTACGCTCTCATTGCTTCCGACAGCTCTTCCGTCATAGCGTTGAGTTTTGTTTTGAGCCGTGGGCATCGTGTCCATGCCCAGAGCCTCCTCATCTGCCGCTTCTCGGACAGGAGCGTTAGCAGTTTGCGTGGGAGTTCCTCCTTCCCGCGCCCCGTGGAGACAGGGTGAGAGTGGAGTTGAAGTTGATCTTTTATGATGTTATGAAGATGTAGGGCCGCTGTCTCCACATCTTCACTGGTGGTAATTGGGGCGCAGAGTTGGAAGTCCTCCAGCGCACTACGAAAGCGTGTCCAATTAGTCTTCATTCGGAGACTTCTGGGCACCACTGCATCCGCACTGGTGTCGATGGTAATCAGCACGGGGAGGTGTTGCGTGTATACGTCATACAACACTTC